ATCCACCATCCATCCATCCATCATCCATCCATCATCCATCATCCATCCATCCATCATCCATCCATCCATCATCCATCCATCCATCTATCCATCCATCCATCCATCATCCATCATCCATCCATCCATCATCCATCCATCCATCATCCATCCATCCATCCATCCATCCATCCATGACTTGGTCCCACTTCAGAAACGCTCAAAATCAGCAGCAATGTTTATAAAATACACCAACAGATGAACTCATGGTTGCTTTTCCATCCTGGAAGGTCTGGAGCAGAAGATGGACAGTTTGTCCCAGCTGAAGGTGAAAGGTTTGGTGGTTGGACCGATTCATGTCGCTCCTCCAGACGAAGCCATGAGCCTGAGGTTTGAGGAGATTTCAGATGATGCTGGATACCTGGACCAGTTCAGAGGTGTCCTACAGGCCGCCCACAGCAAAGGTGAGAAAACGCTGCCAAACCTTAACTAACCTTTCTACTGAACCCCCTTTAAATGATAAAAACATTCAAGTTTCAGTTTGTTTTTGTTTGTTTTTTTGGTTTGGTCTGTTAGTTATTGATTCATAGATTATATATATGGGGCTAAATTGGTATCAATTGGTATTAATGTAGAAATAAGGATTTATTAAAAAACTTTACTTTTTCACAATGTCTGAATTTCAAGTCATGATTTCAGTGAGATATACTGATTTCAAAATTAAGACAATTTCAAAATACTTTACATTTACGCAGTTTCTGAATTTTTGTAATTATTTCTTTGAGATTTATTGATGCAGAAATAAACATATATTCAGGGAGTGGTGCTCAGTGGTTAGAGCAGCGCTCTGTGCTCTGAGAAGGTTGCAGTACCCGATTCGCTCCCCACAGCCTCCACTTTGGGTCCCTGAGCAAGACCCTTAACCCCACGCTGCTTCCCGGGCACCGCACGATGGCAACCCTCTGCTCCCCAAGGGGATCGTTTGAGACTTTAGCTCTATATTTTGATACTCGCACACTCACAAAGTGCGTTTCCAATGTTCACCACAGTGGCAGACACTGCCCAGACAAAGTCCCAAAGACCGGAGAACAGGCAGGAGATCAGAACCCGAACAAATGAAGGAAGGCAGGATAATCCAGAAGGCAAAGCCAAAGCCAGTGTCAAGGAAGTTCTTAGGACTCTGAGCCAGAAGATCAGAAGTCTGAAGAGGTACCGAAGGGGAATCCAGGACAATGATAGGAATTAGTTCCAGGTTCGGTAAACATGCAGAATCCAGCAGGAGTCCAAAGACAGGGCAGGCAAACAGATCAGAACAGGGACAGTGAGGCTCAGAGGTCCACAGGCAGAACGGGTAAACATCAGGCAATCTGAAAACACTTTGATAAACTAGAAGACTCTCACCAAGGGCTCAAATAATCTGGCACTGATGGCTGGTAGAAGGCAGGTTAATTAGGGGCTGGAGCAGGTGGAACAGATGAACGGTAATGAGAAACTGGGCACAGCTAGGGAGGTGAATGGAAAGAGTAATCAGGCCAGTCATCAGTGCCAAGATCACGGCAGAAACTACTTAAACAACTTTTCAGTTTAAGAAATATGTTAAATGAGTTTTAAGAGTTCTAATTGAGCAATGTCTGTTAAATCATCATTTAAAAAATAAAAATAACTAATGATAATTACAATTATCTTGCCTATTTCATAGCGTCTGTTTTTTGGAGTGTAAAGTTAAGGAGTCTCTGCAGATGCTGGCAAAGCTCTCTATCCAAGGTGAAACTAGTCCTTTAACGTCATGGGAAAGAGGCCCGTCTGAGAGGAAGAAAATATTCCTCCTAAAAGAGAATAAAAAGCTAGATTAGTGTTTTCTTTAACTACTTTCGTGGAAAGACACCTTTAAAGACATGTCCTGTGGTCTGATGGTTGTTTTTCCATTGAAGGTCAGGGTTTTGGAGCGGCCTCATCAAAGCCTTGGGGTCCATTTGACAAACAAACTCAGATTCAAACCTGTAAACTTTAGATTGGCTGAGTTTTCAGTTTCACTATGGCTGCTATGAATTAGTTTAATTAACTCAGAGTTTAAAATGCCCGAAACAAGTATGAAAAGCCATTATCAGTGGAGCACTGATTCGATGAGTCGCCATGACAACAGGCAACAATAAAGTGCCTATTTTACCGCACTGGAACTAGAGATTTTAATGCAGAATTGAAAAAAACAAAAAGGAGAATGTGTTTAAAAGACAGAGAAACAGCTGCAAAGGAGAGGAAGATGGTAAAGGAGAAGATTGTTGCTCAAGTCAAGCAGAGAATGGATGCTGAACGTCTCACTCCTGTTCTGGGTGCTAATAACATTTCTGAGGAGCTTCAGCAGCAGAACCGTCTCAGACATCTGATTTATAGTCCCCACCCTGCAGAGATGTTGGAATCGGAGCTTAAATGTCAGTCAGACCCATTTACACAGGGACAGATAAAACCTTTCAATAAACCAAACAAAACCAGTCACATATCTGACTCTATAACCATTAAAACAACTATTTTCATTCATTTCAGACGGAACTATTCACAGACTGGTATTATATTAAACTGAACTTCCAATATTCACCACTGTTTGGCGCCATTTCCCTTTTTCCTCTGATCATGGAGCAGCCAGCTTGCTTGGACTCGCAATGAATCCTGGGATACCTGAGGCTACGGCAGATAAACCGGACCGGTCCTCCAAAATTAAAGTTGCATCTGTCCGCTGCATAATGAGGAGTCCTCTGATCCGAACAGGCCTCGGCGCCACGCTATGACGTAATCAAGGATTATGACGTAATCTGGAGACAAATCTGGCCTTCAGAGGAGATAGCTGCTGGATTAGAACTAGAGCTGAGAAGGTTTCTGAAGAAAGAAAACACCAAATGTTTGACCCAAGACATAAGATGGATAGAAACAAAGATCTATATATCTATCAATCTCTCATTATTTTGTATTGAGCCAATTGAAAAACTTTTATTAATCTTATCTCTTACATAACAGTAAGATCTGAGCCTGATATAATGTCAGACTGTGGGGAAGAAGTAATTAATGCACCTTTTCAAACCTGACATGTATGCCTGGTTTCTCTCCTCTGCAGACATTTCTGTGGTTTTGGATCTGACTCCAAACTACCGGGGATCATCTGGACCCTGGTTCTCCAGTAACAGCATGACTAATGTAGCAGAGAGGCTGAAGGTAAGCACTGACTCTAGCACCAGTTGGAAACCAGTATGAGCTCCATCTAAATAAAAATGAGCTCAGACGTCATCTAAAATCTAACATGACTGCGGCAGCATCTGAATTAAACTCTGATACCTCTTAGATAAAGTCCTGTGCAGATAATTGCCTTTGCAATCTGATTGGATCAGGACTTTAAAAGTATTTCTTCATGGAAGCGTGACTAGAAGAAGCTGTTTGATGTAAGAGAGAACCATAAGAACCTTGCATGCTGAAAACCACCTGATGAGAGTGAAATGCTCACAGTGGGATAAAGTGTTCAGAACATCAACCTGAAACACTGCCTTCACACTGAAGCATGGTGGCGGTAGTGTCATGCTCTGGGGAGGGAGGTTTTCTGCAGGAAGAACAGAGAAGCTGTTGAGAGATGATGGGAAGATGGATGGAGCTAAAAATAACAATCCTGGAAGAAACAGCCTGAAATCAGTCCAGACTGAAAACAAAAAGGTAAAAGTAAAAAAATGAAATCTAAGGAGGTTAATTTTTACTAAAATAGTGGAATTTTTTTCTTGAACTGAGCAGATAGTTAAACACTTTGCATGTGGAATAATACAATTTACATTTAGAATAAAAAAACCTCACAGCAGTCTCTTCTTTCCGGAGCATAATATCTAAAGATGTTATTTTAAAAGGTAAACCTGCTCCTTCCATTAGCAGAGCATCTTATTTACCTGCTCAAACGAAGGAAAAATACACTTATTTTAAAATTTATTACTCATTTTAGATCCGTTATACTTACTGGATTCCATTATAGTTACCAGTTACTTCTGCAAAAAAGTAACTGAGAGTAACTTAGTAACTTCACAATCAGAGTGAGTGGTTAGTAGACAAAGTGACATGTGGTTCATTTTATGATCTAAAATGTTGGTGAATATAACAGTTTTAAAATCCTTATTCTACATGAAGCTCTGAGAATAGACTTGAAAAAACCTCTTTTAGTTTATAAATGGCTCAACAGTTTAGCATCACAATACATCATATGTCCTCCTTCCAGAACATTCAGGTCTTCTGGATCCTGTTTACTTTGTATCCCCAGAACCAGAACCCAACATGAAAAAGCAGCTTTCAGTTTTTAATGCACATTTAATGTGGAACAAAGTCCCAGAAAACAACAGAAACACTGATTTCCTTTACCTCAAGCATGGAGACTGTTTAGAGCATCCTTTGTTTTCTGGAAACGGAGGCTGAGGCCCTCTGTGCTGCAGTCATTTATTATATATTATTCCTGATTGCTGCTGTTTTAGTTAAAAAATGTTTGTTATTGAGAGACTGGAATAGGGATGAAGTTGGAAACTAAGCTCTGATGGACATTTCTCTTGGAGTTAGGGGCATAGTTGATGACTAAATACCTGCCAGCATAACTGTTAGTGTCTCTGCTCTGCCTGCATGGCGTGTTTTAGTACCCGTCATTGTTGCAGACGAGCCGCTGTCATGGCCGGTCAGTAGAGCCCAGCTTATAGGCGGTGAAATTAAAAACACTGGGAGCAGCGTCAGGCTGTAGCTGACTGTCCGATGGACCGCTACAGGATTCAAAAGTCTTTTACTTTACCTAATCTCCACAGTGGTGTTCTGTGAGGTAGCAGGGATGGTCAGAACCTGGTGTTCTGTCAGATGAGCATACCTCGTCAGACCAGCATACCCATAATCAAACCTGTTTAAGCCTTTTATTTATCCCTTTAGTTTTGTATGAAAATTAAACTTTAAAGTACCTCAACAGGCGCGTATTCCTCTAGTCATTTACAAAAAAACATTTGAATTATTTACTTTTTGTTGTTTTTTGAAGCGTATGGCGATCTCACCTTTAATAGTTTGTTTTTTTGTACATGACAGAAGTGAAAGACGCCTGTTGAGGTACTTTAAAGTCTCTCTTTCTCGAACCCCGGCTACCAAACCGCCTCTTCTCTCCTTACAGCTTGATGGGCTTCAGAAGCGATGTGATTTAGACGCTTCGGTGCCCTTTCAGCTTCGTCTTCAATCAAACTAATATTTTAAATGTTTTATGGCTGTGATCTATGAGCGTTCTATCCAATGTATTCCATTCTTTAGCATTAATCAACCCTGTGACGTCACCATTCGAGGTACTGCAACATGGCAGCGCCCTTAGCAGAAACAGTATAAAGCAAAGCTTTGTTGTTTCTTGTTTTTTATTTTGCATTTATGTTTTTCACATTTTCAATATAATTAATGATAATAGTAAGACATGATCTGGTGAATTAAGTTAATTTGGTTGAAAACATTCAAACTACTTTTTACCCTCTCTGGCATTGAACACAGGAGCAGCAGAAATGAAGCAGCAGGTTTTTTATGCTGAAATCGCGTTCGGTGTGAACATAGCATCAGATTGGAGTCACTTCTAACCAGTAAAGTAGAGAATGATTTAGGCTTGAAGCCTTCGGTGACTTCAGTTCGCGTTTTTTCTTTAGGAACGATGTCACTGAATCATCGACTCTCATCTCAGTCTGTGTTGAAGGCAGGATGAGCGCCCATCCATCATAGGCCTCTGTCCCAGCTGCAGTAAAAATCTCCCTTCATTGCAGACAGTGTGCAAATATATCAAAAGTAATTTGATTACTTTATTTAATGAAAAAGTCACATTTTTGTTATTTCAAAATAAGTGTTACTCCCATCACTGGTAGCAATAAATAGAAGCTGATGTTCAGAGAGGAGCTCCACTGCTGACTGGGCCGCAGTCTGTGGAACAAAAACTGCTGCAGATTCAACCCAAAGACCTAAAAGTCATTCTGCAAAGCATAGAGTCAGGGGAGCTAAATATAAATGCAAGCCACACTCTTCAGATTTGTTTTTGGAGAAGGGACTTAAAACCTCCTCACAACGATGGATCATTTGGACTTTCATGTTGAAGTCACCTGATGTCATTTTATCTGATTGCAGCATCCTGAAAAGGAAAACCGTTGAAAGTATTGAAATGTGAGGAAACGTGTCCGTGTGCTTTCAGTCGGCCCTGGTGTTCTGGCTGAATGAAGGCGTGGATGGAGTCCAGCTCTCCGGAGTGGAGCAGCTGGCTAACGCGGCTCCGTCTCTCTGGGCCGACATCCGGGCCATCATCCAGAACGGCACAGATATGGATCCCAAACGTGGGTCAAAAAGGTGCAAGATTCTTCTTTAACCTGTGATCTTTGATTCTGAGACTTTTTTCCCCCAGAAACCTTTATAATCATAATGTTTCCTGCTCTGGCTTTACATCTGCGGTTCAGACGGTTTTCATTGGCTTCCCAGATCATATGATGTCATTTAAAAAAAATATTTGCTCTGGTTTTACTGTCATAAAACGGGACAGATGGACCCAGTATTCAAGGCGACACAGTCAGTAGGAAAAGTAAAAAATGTTTATTAAACACAAAACATAAAGGAAACCGAAGCGCGGAGCTGTGGATCACAGCGGCTGCAGGGGGGCGGGACGAAGCTTATCACTGGCGCTCTGGATGTGGGAGAAACAGGGAAGTGACCATGATCATCTGATGGAAGATGATTATCTGTGAGTCACTTTCTTGGTTTAACGGTTCAGTCCATCCAACAGGAACAAAGCTGTGTTTTTGTTTGAAAGGAAGTCGCATATATTTGGAAATGTGAACGACAACACAACAGAATCGGATTTAAAAAACAAAACAGAACTGAGCATCGGCCTGCAGTGAGAACGCAGCCTGATTGAGCTTTTGGTGTTTTTCAGACTCCTGCTCGGCGTCACAGAAAGCTCCTCGGCTGAATACGTGTCCGCCCTTCTTTCCTCCACTGGAGTGGACCTTCTGATATCCAACGTGCTGACATCAGGTGACCCTGAGCCTTCCCGTTACGCTGACACCATCCAGACCCTGTACTCTAACGTCAGTCAGGAGAGGCTGACCTGGAACCTGGGGGGTCGGGTTGAGGGTCACCTGGCCTCCTTAGTGACCCAGGCTCATGTCAGGCTCTACCAGCTGCTGCTGATGACCCTGCCAGGGACGCCCGTCTTCAACTATGGAGATGAGATCGGCCTGATGGACGGGGTGAGACAAGCCCTACCTGATTCAGCAACGTTTTCAAGCTTTATTTGACAGCAAATAAAAGCACCAAAGAAGAGTCTCTGACTGATAAGTTTTGAGAAAAGAAAAGTAACTTGTTTTGGTTCTTATTTGCATTAGGACTCCAAGTTTCCCAAGATGCTTTGGGACTTTGAAGAGGAGCTGAACGGGACTCTGCAGGTAAACATCTGGAGGACAGCTGTGCTGCTCACACATTAAAACCTCTGCTGAATTAAAAGTTTAATAGAAGAATTTATTAACAATAATAGTTCAACTACTTTTCAGTTAAAAACCTTTGACTACATCAGTGAAACTAAACTAAAGCTAGTTAGCTTCTATGCACACATAGGGCTCTTAATGAGAACAGCTAGAAAACATAATTAATAAAATGATGCAAAGAAATCACAGTTCACATGTTTTTATGTGTGAGAACCAAAGTTTGAAATGAGGTCAAATTAGCTTTTATAAAGTAAAGCAATTGGAAGGTGATGAAACCGGTTCACGGTGCAAATCCAGGGAGGTACGGTAATAATAACATTATTGGATGACATAATATTTTATTAAATGATTTGTCTAATCAGGAATCAATAACTGTTTAGAGAGTTGATTCTTAAACTTATGTCTTCATATGAGAGTAACGAAGGTCAGGAACCCTTATAGCAGAGGGTTTAGCTTCTGAACGTTTTGTTTATTAAGAAAGCGCTATAGAATAGCACCAATTCACATCATGTCATGCTCACACTGAGCCTGGTTCTGCTGGAACCAGGCTCAGAATAGAAATAAATAAACTGAATAGAAAATGTATGTGATGATGAATGGTTTGCACCAAAGCTGAAATGTCGATTACAATGCAAATTGTAGTTCACAATAATGATTGATTGATTGATTGATTGATTGATTGATTGATTGATTGATTGAAATTAAGCAGCAGACCAACTTAACTTCAAACAGAGGTTGAGAAAATGACCCATTTGCCTGCAGCGACAGACAAGGAAACAAAGTAAAGACTGGAACTAAGAGAAAAAGAGGACAGGCAGACAAATGTGTCCTTTGAAGATCCTACTTTAAAATACTTTTGCAGATGGGTCTTAGTTTGTAGAGCAAGGTAAACCTGCATCCTGTTCCGCCAATGTTCATAACTGATGGCACGGCTTTGGCTCTACACCTGCAGAGGAAGGGTGCACCATTATTGGAAAGCGTTCAGGTGTAAAAACTAGTGTGCATGTATGTTTAACCCATGAATCTTCTCTGTGTTTTTCCAGGAGGATCAGAAAGAGAGGCTGTCGCTTCGCAACTTTTTCTGCTCTGTGAGCGAGCTTCGGGCTAAAACGCGCTCCCTCCTTTATGGGGACTTTTCCCTCCTCTCTAATTCTTCCTCCTCTTTGGTTTACCTGCGAGTCTGGGATCAGAACGATCGTTACCTGGCCGTCTTTAACTGGGGGACGGAGGAGGAGGCAGCGTTGAGGATGAACCATGCAGCCCTGCCTCCCCACGCTACTGTTGCCCTCAGCACCAACGGTAGCGCCCTTCCTGAAGGCAGCTCTGTGGACCTGATGAGTCTGCGGCTCGGTCCAGGACAGGCCGCACTCCTCAAGCTCCCTTACTCTGGATAGAAGAAATGTTCACAAAGTTTACACGCTCTTAATGTTCATTCATTTTAGCGTAAAGTGTTTCTGAGCCCTAATGAGAAAAGTTTTCCACCTGAACTTTAAAAGTTCAGGTGGAAAACCATCAGGTTTGAAAAAAATGTATTAGGCTCGAGTTATTGTGCTGCAAACATTGTGACTTCTGTTGTCTGCTTGATCATCAGTTCTCCAGGGAAGAAGATACTTTGGGTTTGATAATTCAGCTTGTTTAAAATGATCTGTGAAATCAATGTTCTCTGTAAACAGGAGCTACGGCTTCATGTTGTCAATGTGCAGAAGGTTGAGGAGGTTTAATATAGAAAAGGGCCCTTCGGTAGAAAGAGTCATGAAAAAACAAAGAGATAATTTACACATTTACCTGTTTTGTTAAATTCCAGACCAAACACAGGACAGATCAATTGGAAGCAGCAATATAAAGATAAACTAAGATGACAAGAAGAGGTCAGACTGATGGAAGATGAGGATGAAGGAAAAGTAGAAGAAGAAGCATCCAATGAGGATGAACTGATGGAGGGGGGTGCAGAGAGGAAGGGATGAGGAAGAGATTAAAGGAAAAGAAGAGAAAGAGAGGAACTGCTAAAGCAAAGCTGAGCAGAAAGGTGGACGTCCCTTCAGCTCTGAGATGCTGCTGATCCAACAGTTATAAACCTTATTTTTGTGCTTTTTGGTCGTATTGTCACAGCTGCTTTGTTTTATGTATGAATCTTGTATCTGAAACATCTGTGCAAATAAAAATAAGAATATACTGATATTAAGCAAACTAGACACAAACATTAATGGACTCTTTATTTACAGCATTAATTCGATCAGTAAAGGTTTTCATTTATGCACTGTGTCTTTATCAGACGCGTATTTTCTGTGAAAATAGTTTAAATCAATTATTACAGGTTTATTATTACTGGAGGTGTTTAGTTGTGTTTGGTGTTACTTCCCTCTGAAAGACCGTCCTAAAACTTTGGTGGTTCAGGTCTAACTTTGCAAATATTTCTCTCAATGTTAAATGTTTCTTACAGATTAACAAGGAAATTCACCACAGTAAAAAATCTCAGGAAGAGTTTCTGCTCTTATCGGTTTGTCGTCATTTTATTTCTATCTTTTAGGTTTTATGGTAAAAGAAACTCTAAAAAATTATGTTTTATTTACTGGAAGTGGTCGACCAGAAAGACCCAAAATTCAACCAGAGGCAACAGTTGAAGTTTGAACCGTTCATTGAAAATGAAACTGTTCCAGGACCGGAGGAATTCACCAGTCAGCAACCAGAAGGAGGATTCCAGAATCCGTCCAGGGTGGTTTGCAGGTTTCCTTCTTTAATAGTTACTCGTTGGACCAAGGAAATGCTCATGGTGAGATCTGCGATAACAGAAGACAAGCAGAAGGATGAAGAGGACAAACGAGTTTGGAATACGAGAGTCCGACCCAGTTGATCCAAGATCCAGAGACGATCCAGGGGAGAAACCGAGACAAAGTTCAGGGCACAGAAAACAGGTGAGAGATCCAAAAACCACAATGACAGGTCCAATAGGATTCAGGCAGGCTCAGAGAATCAGGAGGCAGAATCGGGCCAGAAACAGGCAGACAAGTAAGAGGAACGCTGGATCAAACTCACAGATGGCCTTTAATAATCTGGCAAACTGCAAAAACTATCTAGAAATAATAAAATATTAAGTGTATTTACCCTTATTTTGAGTAGATAGATACATAAGATGATTTACTAATAGAATTTGTATTTTTACTCTTGAAATGAGATGAGATGATAATCACCTGAAATAAGACAATGCAATCATTATTTTTCTTTTCTTAAATGTAAATTTTCTTGCTACATTGACAATCTATCTCACTTACTTCCTGAATACAATAAACAAAATCGCTAATTTTTAGAAAGAAAAAAGACTTTAGATCAGTGTATAATGAGGTGAGCAGGTGGATCTGATGGTGGCTGATGGGAAACGAGGCGAAGCTGGCAGGTGTGTTGAATTCTGAATCAAACCAGCGCTGGTGCCAGAAATCATGACAATTATTAAACCGGAGGTTTAGGTGTGAGTAAGAATATTACGGTATCATTTTCATCTCCCCCTTCCAGAACTGGTACTGGCTTTTTTTCGCCCATATTTACCACTGATGTTCTACTCCTGAGCCTGTGATAGACGCCAACTTTCTCCAGTCAATTTGATCCACACTATCTGGCTCTGTCCTCAGCTCTCCAACTATTGGTCCAAGGTTTTTGCTATTTTGTCGGACATTGTTGGCATGAAACTGGAGCTTGTTTGGGGTTGCACCTTCTCACAGTTTCAGAAGTGCTCCCTGGCTTCCTGACCTTTTTGGCATCTCTCTCTTCTTTCCTCCTGTTATGTTTGTCAAGTGGCCCTAAGAGTGCTAATGCAATCAAACCAAAGTGGGTTAATTAGTGTGAAGGAAGGTGACATTATGGGGCAAGGAAGGGAAAAGGGAAAAGGAGAGGAAGTAAGTAAAAAAATATATAACTTAACAGTAAAAAACAGAATAACACAAAGCCAAGCCTAACTGAAAACCACAGACTGAAAATGAAACAACCAAAAATCCCAGAAATGCAGCTCCTAACAAAACACTACGGTGGATTTAAGCATTAAATGTGATTTTAAAGATGAGGAATTATTTTTTAATATAGTTCAGTTAAACCAACCAGACTGACTTCAATGAACTACTAAAGCATTTTACATAAAAACTTTCACCATCGTAAATCTCTCTTTTTGTGTCCTTCATTATAATAAAAGCTGAATTATGTTGTTTGGACAAAAGTACTTTAACATCCATCATCTTCTCCTGCTGTCTACAGGTGAGAGGCAGCGTCCATCTTGGACAGGTCACCAGTCCACCACAGGACAACACAGAGACAAACAACCATTCACTCACATCTAAGGAGAATCTAGAGAAGAAAATTAACCTAACAGTCATGATTTTGGACTGAGGGAGGAAGCAGGAATACCCGGAGAGAACCCACGCATGTTCAGGGAGAACATCATGACCTTCACTGTTAATTTGCATGTTTTATTATTGATTCAACATTTGTAATCACAGAAGCAATCTGAGATTATATTCTTTATTCTAAGGGGGAACCAGTAATAAATCATCATTAAAACAACAGAAACTAAAGAACCATGAGAGGAAACTGCTGACTTTGCATCCATGTTCAGCTTAATGTTTTCAGAGGGATCATTTTACTGAGGTGGGTGGAGTAAAAGTAAAATTATTTAATGACTTCAGAGAAGTTTATAGAGAGATTTCATTTTACTTTAATATGATACTGAGGAGATTTAATTACTTCAGGAAAATAATTATTTGAACACCCTGCTGCTTTGCAAGTTCTTCTACTTAGAAATAATGGTCTGCAATTATCATAGGTGCATGTCCACTGTGAGCAGGGGTGCTCAAGTCCAGTCCTCAAGAGCTACCATCCTGTAACTTTTAGATGCATCTCTTCTCTAACACACCTGAATCAAAAGGCTCAATCCCCTCATTTAGCTCAGCAGAGGTGTGGTAATGAGCCACTCATTTGATTCAGGTGTGTTAAAAATGGGCTGCATCAAAAAGTTGCAGGATAGTAGCTCTTGAGGACTGGACTGAGCACCCCTGATGTAGAGAGAGATGTGTGTGTGGTGGGAGCGTAAACTAATTGTCTCTGCTATTTATATTTACTTACGCACAAAAGCAGTTATACAGAAAGAAATACTTGGTGTGGATAGTTGGTTGTTTTTCCCTCTCATTGCGCTCCTAGTGATCAGCAGCGCTGCGTCACGGCGTACAAACAGCACGGGATCTCATGCCGACGCCGCCCCATACGGCAGAGCCACCCTGGGCGTCTGACCATGTCGGCCATTTTAAACTGGAACCTGCTGCTGAAAGCGCCTTAAAAATCACCGCCTTCTACAAACCACAGGAGCTCAACTTTAATTCATACTTTGCAAACAATTTATTGATTATCTTTTTTGGAGCATACACATTTGAAAATATTTGTTTACCTGAAACTGCAACTTCAGTTAAATAAATGTTTACAATATACAAAGAAAATACAGGGAGCAGAGTTGTTTTTTTTAATAGATGTGCATCAGACACAATCAGTGTTTTTTTTTCTCTTTAGCTTAATCAGAGAGGAAACACCAAAAAACTGAATTCTGACCTTTTTAGCAGGTCTGAAACAAACCAAACTGCTGCACACAAACACGCCCACACTCACTCACCAGCCGAATGGAAAGGAGGGGAAAACAAAAAGATGAAAACGAAAAACAAGCAGGAACTTCTAATGGAGGAACTGAAAACAAACCGGGTCAAAACCAGGCACTGAACTGAACGGACCGGTGTGTGAATGCAAACAAACACACCAGCCTGCAGCATTCGACTGGAAACCTAAGCCCTGGATGCTCACATGGACGTCAGGAGGGAAGCGTGAAAGGTGTGAGGGCTGCAGATGTTCTCCATGAGGCGTCCTCCTGCGGCAGGCAGGCCGTCGCTCCGCTGGATGCTCTGGCAACACGGACAGATGATTTCGGCGCATGCTCGGTGTGACGGTGGCCATCTTCACAGGTCAGTTCAGGTGAAAGCCCTTTTCCATGGTGGCAGCTAACAAACGCTCCCTCATTATGTCCTCGGATGAATATTCAGGGAGCTTCAGGTAGTGAACGCAGGTATTTACTGACGGGTAACTGGAGTCTGTGGCATCCACCTGAGGAGGAGGAGGAGGAGGAGGAGGAGGAGAACATCAGCCACTCAGCTTACAAAGTCAAGCTGGGAGATTTTAACAACTCAAAGAGCAAACAGACCTTCCGGACTACAGTGAGGCGTGGGTGTAGGTTGGCCAGGCCACCAGGGGGCAGGGTGGAGCAGCCGGTGGTGAACTGCAGGAAGGCCTTCCTCTCATCAGACGACATTCCACATAAAACTCGGACAAAGCGCTGGAATCCGGGGCTGAGGGGAGCAAAGCAAACTCAGTCCTCCTGTCGGGTTCCTTTGGATTCTAGAACCAGAAGTGCGTGTAACTCAGGCGGTACCTGTCTCTGGTGTAACCCAGCTTTGGTTCTGTGTAGTTGATGATGTCATCAGCGTTCCAGGAAGGTGACTGGTTGCCGCAGAGGACCATCTGCACCTCTTTATGGCTGAAGGAGCTCAGCTTCTCCATCGGGAACACTCGATTAAAACCCTCTGAAGAAGAGAGCAGAGTTCATGAGCATGGAAACAGAAACGGAACGTTTGCAGAACTCCAGACAACCTCCGCTGGGTTTGATTGGTTAGAATAAGGCGGCATTTATGGAACTATTTCTGCCCTTCATTCAGTCATGCTGGAATACTTTGATCAGGCCGAGATTCTTCGTCATGCGTCCTGAGTGGGGCAGAACGTGGTGCAACTGGCGCCCATTAGCCTCTCTCCATCACCTGACCGGGAATCAAACATTCACAAAAAAATGCTTGAAACACTAGTGCCTTGTTTATTTTTGTACAGTGGGCTGACAGGGAGGGGGTGCGAGACAGAAGGGGAGAGACATGTGGTCAGCCACGTGGAGGACGAAGGCCTCCATAAACAGACTGTTCGTGCGAACCACTGAAGCACAGCTCTCTGATTTTTCCTGTGAGATTAACAGATTTTATTTTCTATTTTCCCCCTTAGCGGATGTTTTACTTTGTAACCGCATCTCTCTTCCTGTCAGACCATGAAACTGCAGCTAAATTGCTGCATGGTCTGATTAAAACAGACCTGGGCTCTATCTCAGTCAGATCCATGCAGCCATCATCTCTGACTTTTAATCAGCGCTTAATGCCACCACCTCGTCCATAACGATTCTCTGATCGGACGCAAAATTGGATTTGTTGTCTTCAGGCCTTTAGATTTTAATCACTGGGCGTCTGGAGTAACAATCATTGTAAAGTTTACTCTGAGAGGTAATGCTCCGCCTCCTTTTGTTCTGTTTCCTGGAGCCCTTAGATCAACCCAATGTTTTTAATTTAGTCCGTGAGGCAGACACCCTGTCTACTTTAAGGCTAGTCTTAAATCTTTCCTTT